TGCATGTCACGTATGGGAAGATGACGGATGTTAAGTGTATGACTGAAATCTCCAAACAGCCAATAACTATAACAATACCTAAATGCTGAAAGTTACATTTTCACATACACGCACAAATTGCATGTAAATGTATCAGCCTTTCACAGTGTAATACTCACTACTCTAGAGTACGTTTAAAAGGGCTACATTTTATTCATTCTTTGAATAATATTTACAACAAATACTTTTAGTCTACTTGCACCTCATTTTTGGGCAAGTAACAGTACTTTTACTTGAGTATGATTTTTTGTACTCTTTCCATAACCAGTGAGTACACATGAGTTTTAGGTCAAAGCGGTCTTTCTAGAGAAGTGGCTCCCAGTGTAATATTCAAAGTCACCCTAATAATTTATGCTGTAATTATGAAAAGATGCTTAATTTGAAACAAAAAATCATATCTCTGGTAATATAATGAGGTGATTCTGGAGTCAGATCTGAGTTTCAATAGTCATGTCAAAGCAGTAACTAAATCAGCATACTATCATCTGAAAAACATGGCAAGAAGTAGATGCTTCGTTTCCAGTGAAGACTTATAGAAACAGCAGGGTGGATTGCTGTAATGAACTCATTACTGGCTTTCCCAAAAAGACATTCAGAATGCATCTGCCAGGATTCTGACCAGAACCAGGAAATCAGAGCACATTACACCTGTGCAAAGGTCTTAACACTGGCTCATAGTTACATTCAGAATAGATTTTAAAGCATTATTACTTGTCTAGAAATCCCTAAATGGCCTAGGAACTCAATACATTAAAGATATGCTCAATGAATAAAAACCTAATAGATCACTCAGATCTTTAGGATCGAGTAAATTAGAAATTCCAAGAGTTCAGTCAAAGCTGGGTGAATCTGCCTTCAGCTACTAAGCCCCCGCTGCTGGAATCTCAGCTTCCAGAAATGATCAGATGTGCTCCAACATTAGGTACATTCAAATCAAAACTAAAAACACATCTGTTTAGCTGTGCCTTTACTGAATAAGCACTGTGCTGCGTCCGACAGATCGCACTATTGTGTCTTTCTTTTCTTTTTCATTCTTTTATAACCTGTTTTAACACATTTTAATCTGTTTTTATATTTGAATCCTTTTTAATTCTTTTTATTTTTACTTTCTAGTTTCTTTTATATTTGTTTATGTAAAGCACTTTGAATTACCATTGTGTATGAAAAGTGCTGTATAAATAATCTTGCCTTGCCCTTGCTTTGAGGTCTTAAGAAGCAAAACAATCCATTTGTATAGAAAACTGACATTATTTACAGCAACAATACTTCATTCCAAACCCTCAGCAAATGGTCCTGAGCAAGTTCAATTTCAGGTTTTTGTAGGAGCCAGAGGTATTTATTTTGTTTCACCGGTATAAATTTTTCCTCTGTTAAAAGGATGAATGTCTGTAACGGTGATCTATTCCTTCCCTTTCTCTGCCATTTCCATAGGGTTTCAGCACAAAGGATTTGATGTGTAAAACCACAAACTTGCAATTAGGCCTGTCATGATATCTGTTTTCACAAAATATATTGTGATAAACTATATTATTGTGATTTTAAGACCATTTTATGCCACTCATTACATAATGCCAGAATGTCAATATAATATCATCATAATGCAAGTACACTCTTCTAAAGAACACATAATGTTCTTAAGCATATTCATTTAATTATATTTATTTTAACAAATTATGCAATGGAATCAGAATTTGAAAACGCATATCCTAAATAAATAATATTAAATGTTAAAGTGCAAGGTAAAAAGTAACAGAGACTGATAAATCTGCTAACAGATCTAGTTTCAGTTGCCAGGCACCCACATGAAAATATACAATAATAATTTATAGTAAATACTACAGTGTTTTTGCCCATACTAACACTGACATGTCTGATAGAGATGCTAAAATGTGCTTAAATGTTGCAAGAAGTATCGTGCTATAAGTCGATATATTGATTATTGTGACAGGCCTACTTGCAATTATCTTTTTGTTTGTAAGGATACATCAAAAATAAAAATAAAACTTAAGAACTGTTTACACCAGGGATGTCCAAACTCGTCCCTGGAGGGCCAGTGTCCTGCATAGTTTAGCTCCAACTTGCATCAACACACCTAGCTGGAAGTTTCTAGTATATCTAGTAAGAGCTTGATTAGCTGGTTTAGGTGTGTTTAATTGGGATTGGAACTGAAATATGTAGGACACCGGCCCTCCAAGACCAAGTTTGGACACCCCTGATTTACACCTTTTCAAACCTCAATTTACATATGGTTTCAAAGAACGGTCAAAAGACTATTCCATCAAGTCAGCGCAATAGCCTAGTGGTTAGCACGCTGACATATGGTGCAGTAGCACTTCAGGGCGTCCCAAGTTCGAATCCCGAATCGTGGACATTTCTCGTCCCTACCCCTCTCTCTCTCCCACTTCGCTTCCTGTCCAAAACACTGTCCTATGCGCTTAATAAAGGCAAAAAGGCCAAAAATAAATCTAAAAAAAAAAAAAAAAGACTATTCCATCTTTTAATTAATTTATTTTCCTGGTTGCTTATGAATACATATGACATTAGTTAACATATGAAGTGTCATGTACGTAATATAATATCACAAAATATGCATATCAAATGCTGTATCAAATAACAATAACTATACATCTCAATACACATAATATAATTCATTTTACATTTCAGCTTAGTCCCTTAGTTAATTAGGGGTCGCCACAGCAGGATGGACCACTAACTTATCCAGCATATGTTTTACGCAGAGAATGTCCTTCCAGTTGCAACCCATCACTGGGAAACACACATACACTACGGACAATTTAGCTTACCCAATTCACCTACAGCACGTCTTTGGATTTGTGGGGGCAACTGGAGCACCTGGAGGAAACCCACGCAAACACGAGGAGATGTGAGGCAATTGTGAAACACACTGCGCCACCTTGACCCTCACAAATAATATAATATTATAGAAAAATATTACAAATTTCTTAGTGCTCTAAGAATGCCATTAACATGAATTGCCAAGGACTTATAATAATAATTGTACTCGTAGAAAAAAAAAAAGTAAAGTTTGATGGCCAAAGGTCAATTTAACAGGGTACATTACATCTAATTAAATTTTTGGGGGGTGAACTACATTTATATCAGGCACAATTAATTTTTTTTATTCAAAAAGAACGTTTATGACTTTTTATTTTCTTTTGTACATTCATTTTATATCCTATGCATTTCAACTCTGAATGAATATGGAGTTTACATCATCCTGTGGCCTCATGTAAAGATCTTTAGCAGGCCCTGCTTGAGAGCCACTGCTCTACAGCCCTGCAATTCCCATGAAAAGGCAGAAATAAATGAAAGCCTTCCACTGTTCTGACATGCCCAGTGTTATCATTAGCTGGCAGAGTTTCTTTATTCTCCATTAATATCCACACAAATACCCACAGATGAGCTGGCAGCTAAAGTGACACGTTAGATTTACATTACAAGATCCCAAAACAAGCACTGAGCCTGTTATCAGTCCGGCTTCTCTGTAATTAACTATATTAACACAGTTCCTCAGTGAAATGATGCAGCTGGGGTTATTCTGTGATTGTGCTCCCGTCATTTCAGCCCCATTGTTCATGATTCAAACCAACAACTCACAACATAAAAAGGGCCCTGAGCAAGTTTACTTGGCCTCATAAAAACAGTCTCTGTCTTTTCCTTGTTGTGACTACTGTGCCATCCCCTGACTCCAAACCACAACACCAGCCAATAAAACAATAAACTGGTGGTCATTCAAAGCACTAGGAGAAAGGCTCACTAGCAAAGTTTTATTAAATGGCAAAAGGTCAGTTCTGTTATTTACACAGCCATCCCAGAAAGGTAACAATATTTCCTATTGAATCCTTTTACTCCAATAACCCTGGTAACCAAAACAGTGACCATAATATGTAATTATTCTCCCATGTTAAACACTACTGTTCAAACATTTCAGATAAGACTTATTCATGTTTTAACAGAAGTCTCTTTCAGCATAATTACTTCAGTCTTGAGTGATGCAAGATCTTTCATAATTCATAATTAATTCTAATATGCTGATTTTCTGTTCCCATTATAATTAACTATTGGTAAAATAATATATAATGAAACATTATAACTCTTTTTACTGTTAGTTTAGATCCATTTATTGTGACCTTGGTAAATAATAGTAGCCCATGTACAAGAAAAGTAAGCTTTCAGTGCTTTAGAATGATAAAATATTATGGTTTCAACAAACATATGAAGCAGCACAACTATTTTATGCATTGGTAATAATCAGAAGCAAAAATATGTGTCTGTGCATGTTTTGGAGAGATGATGCCGAAAATTCTGCTTTGAATCACATTAATGAATTACACACACATAACGATTAAATCAGTTTTTGTGTTTGCACAGCAGACACATCTTCAAAAAATATAACACTTTGATTGACAATAAACTTTACTGAAAAAAATTACTAGTAGCCTACTGCGATATAATTGTCATAGATTCAAAGTGTATTCACTTTTTACAAATTGAGCTATGAACCATTTTATCACCATAAGAATAACTACACTTGCTGCCTGACATTTTTAGGTTGAATCAAATTATCTTTTCTAGTCATCTCCACTTGCATTAACGTTACTTAAACTAACTCAAAATATTTAATTAAAATCTGCATAACTTGAAAAAACATTTAAACCAGATGAACTTATTAAAATAAGTTAAAGAAACTTAAAAGCTTTTGTTGTGATGGCTTTTTGTTATATTATGTTTTACAGTGTACAGACGTAACATGATGCAACTTGATTTAAAAAAAGGTCAAATTCAAAATAATACCATATTCTCGTAAATAACTTGTATTTAATTTGTTCAAAAACAATGTTCTTAGGTCAGAGACTGAAGGACAGTGATTCACTCAGGTGTTTTCCACCTGTACACAGGTAAACAACACTGCGCTCGTCCGCGCGTTGCCCTATTCTTACCTCCTCAAGCGCGGCCACGGTGCTTCGACAGTCGCTCATTTTAGACTGAAACCCAGAGCTCCCCGGAGACGAAAGATCCTCTTTCGCCAAAGAAACGAAATCCGAAATACTTATTTTCTCCGGCATGTTTCTTACTGTACTAACCCAGGAACTTAAAATCCCAACAAACGTTGTCAAAAAAACAAACACTTCAAGATCACGCAAAGTGCAAATCCACAAGAAGGTCTTTAAAATCCACAAATGAGCGTGATATCCGAACCATGGGAATTAAAATGTGTCTCATATCTGCAAAGAAAAGCGAAACATTCAGTCTTCGCTGTGTTCCGCCGTATGAGAAAGTCGGTAAAGTTTCTCTGCACATTCAGTCGACTTTCTCGGTGCCGCGCGAGGGTTCAATAGCGCGTGCCGCGGCTGGATTGCGCGCGAGAGGGAGGGAGTCATTCCATCATCACGTGGGAATGTTTGTATTCACTGACGAAATGAAAAGAGCGCGCGTTGAAAGAAAAGGCTTTACATTTATCTACTTCAGCGTCTGCTAAATTAAAACATGAATCCGTTTTGGTGCGAATAATTATGCAGAGATTCATTCTTTTTATTGTCATGAAAAAAATAACCTATATTAACATTCCAATAAAAGCCATTTGGGTAGACTGGTGTTGCCTTTTTTATTCATATGATGTAGATTGGATAATTTAAACACCTTTACCATAGCTTTAACTGACCCTATACCATACCATAACTTTTTTTTCCCTGAAATTGATCTGCTATTTGAATAATGAAATCCCTTATGAATGAACTCTATAAATCTATAAAATCAGGTAGGCACAAATGGGGAAAATAATTTTAAGCTAAATTATCATTGTGCATGATTTTATGTTAAATAAATATACTAACTTTAAACCTTAAAAGAATAGGAGAACGGAATATAGTAATTTTTGGCCACTTCATTTCATGTTCACTGTAAATAAATAAAAAAAGTTTAAAGTTGTGCCTTTATTTTAGCTTCATTTTTACTTCAGTTATCTTTAGAACACGTTAAAAGTGTGCTTATTTTAATTATTCTATACATTCATTAACATAAGAGAATACTTCCAGTTTTGTTCTTGATGTGACAAACCCTAATGTAAAACCAATAAATTTATTCAAATAAGCTAACAATGTTTCATCTCAATTCTTTTAGTCCCACAAACTGTTTTAAGTCAGATTAATATATTGTAAGATGAAACTTTGAATGAGCAATTAAATTTTTTTAATACAACAAATGCAGGCGGTTCATTCCGCTGTGGCGACCCCGGATTAATAAAGGGACTAAGAAAATGAATGAATGAATGAATGAATGAATGAGCAAATGCACCTTTTGTGCAACATAACTGTAAACTGACATGCTTTTAGTAAATGACATAACCCTGTTTGAATTACTTTCCTGCGTATATGTGAGTTTTTCTTGTGTTTGTATAGACAAAAAATAAACAAAGAAAATAAACCAGTGCACTTTGTACAGCGGACCCTAAACAGAGACATGGAGCCTAACACAAATGAAAAGCATTGTGCGTACACTTTCCCTCTTTATTCAGGTGTCAACGCACATAAGCCATTTCCTTATAGACACTATACGTGAGCATGAATGAACATGCTCCACCTGCTCCAGTCTACCATTTAAATGAAACCCACTCCTTAAAAAGACAAAGGTTTGCTTCACTAACACAACTGGAACTTTTTTTTCAATAATTCTGAGCCATTAGATTTGAAAGGTGAAAATTAATGGCGTTCTGTTGCATCAAAGCAACAGAAACTCATAATGGTTTCTTATGTTCCTGATGTTTTGTAAGAAAATCCTCTTCTGCAGATAGCACAGAGGGATGTCAGTTCTGCCTTTGGTCTCTTTAAAGCTGCACACCTCGCTGTAGCCTTCAACAATACAGAGTATAGTATTACAATATGATGTATTGTGCTGGACAAGTATCAGTTCAGCTTAGCTGTGTGCAAGAATTTCAAGGATAATATTATTTTTACCTTTTTTTAGGGCTTTAAGGACATTAGATGTACTCAGAGTTGGGCAAAAATACATTAAAATGTATTTAAAAAAAACAAAATACCTCCATTTTAAGTGTATCAAAAAATAAATAAATAAATAAAGCAGCCACACAATGTATCAAAATAAAATAGTTTTTTGTATTTTGAAAATACTACAAAATACTTTTACAAATGAGCATGAAATTTCTTTGCAAACCTTCCATCAAGAGGCCTCAATCCCTACTCAATACATTTGTTTCTCTTTGACAAATTTCACAGAAAAAGTTCTGTCTTGAAGATGATCTCTTTAATCACTGTAAAAACCATTTAATGCAGATAATGAATTGGAATATAGTACTACATTTCTCTTTATATCTCTATCTATTTAGAAAATTGCCACCCTCTCTTAACAGTCTTATTTTAAAAGGGTGATATATATAAAAAGGTTATTTAAAATTATTGTTCACATAATTTGTCAAATAAATCGAGTTGGGTTATTGTTTTGCAATTGAAATCTTCAATACTCCAGGTAAAACGCGATATCTGTTTTTGCTGCCACAAAACTTAAATTGCAAGTTCTTGACCAGTCTGTAGACTGCAATATTGTTAAATATTTTTGTCTCATACTAGGGGTGTCACGGTAGCGCAGTGGGTAGCATGATTGCCTCAGCAAGAAGGTTGCAGGTTTGAGCTCCGGCAGGGTCAGTTGGCATTTCCCCGTGGATTTCATCCGGGTGCTTCGGTTTCCCCCACAGACATGCGGTATAAGTAAATTGAATAAGCTACTGTAAATTGGCCGTAGTGTGTGTGTAAATGCAAGAGTGTATGGGTGTTTTCCAGTGTTGGGTTGCAGCTGGAAGGGCATTCGCTGCGTAAAGCATGGGCTGGATAAGTTGGCAGTTCATTCTGCTGTGGCGATCTCTGATTAATAAAGGGACTAAGCCGAAAAGAAAATGAATAAATGAATGAATAAATTAGCTATAGTGTGTGTGAATGCAAGATTGTATAGGTGTTTTTCAATGTTAGGTGGTGGCTGGAAGGGCATCCGCTGCGTAAAACATATGCAGAATAAGTTGGCGGTTCATTCCATTGTGGCGACCCCATTAATAAAGGGACTAAGCCAAAAAGAAAATGAAGGAATGAATGAACGAATGAATTTCTCATGCTGATTAACTATGTGAAAGTTTTTAATTAAAACATATAAAGAGCACCTGTAGATCTGCTACTGGCATTTGAAACAGCCAGTGAAGTTTTGTAGGTATCGTTTGACTTGCTCCCCCGATCTATCCCTGCTATTTGTCTGTTACTTTTTTTTATATGTGATGCATAATTTTCATCCATACTCCAAGAATTGATCAACTTCTTCAATATTAATCAATTTTTGCTTCAAACATGTATGTTTCTGCTTTCCTATTATGGTTTTAATTGGTAAAGTACATTTAAAGAAAAATTAGGTATACATTTTAAATAAAGGCTATGCATAAGAATTGCATTTAACTTTACATAAAACTTTGAGGGATTATGTGATTATTAGTTTAAATTAATTAATTAGTCTCTTTAAGATAGCATTTTTGTTCCTATAGAGGCAAAAAAAAAGCATGAAAAAATCATGTGGCATACATAAACATTGTGTGTATGAATGATTTGTGTGCATTTGTGTAGTTTCCGGCATACTGACAAAACATTTTCTTAAATACTGATTCAAAATTCAGAGATATAATTTAGCATTATTATTATTATTATTATTATTATTATTATTATTATTATTATTAATGCAATATAGTTGCCATATTGTATAATTTGGTTGTTACCTTAATAAATTATTTGGTCACTTTTAGACATCAACTAAAAGCATCTGTTCAGACTTTTTAAGGTGTCATTAGGTTGGTTACATCAATCTTTGAATTTTATGAAGTGATTTATGCAATAACCATGCTGTTATGCATGTGTGCCAATTTACAAATAAATAAACATGACTAAAAAGAAAAACAAACTTAAATAAATTAGGTTAACTCAGTTTGCTGACCTTAATTTCTGCAAAGTACACCCCATCCCCCAATGCACAATGCATTCCCTCTCTCTCGCACAGTATTCTCTTCATGTTCTGTATTGGCTTCATGCGTTATTGTTGATGTAATGGTGGTTTTGTGGCCAAACAATACTCTCTTTCTCCCCCTGGCTGCAGCCCCTCTTTGTGTGGCTGCTTTGTGAAAGTCTGCATTTATGGGTGGACGTCACTCTGGGGGAGAAGAAGAAGGAAAGTGGGTGAAAGAGAGGAAAAAGGAAGTATGATGCAAAACTTTACAGTAAGTTATTAAGACAAAGTACCATTTAATTGATCCCATGTATCTTTGTCATTTCCTCAAAGTCAAAGTTCGCTTTATTGTAAATTCTGCCACATTTAGCAAACAGATACAAAGTGCTAAAGATAACACAATACTAAAAGGGGGAATGTAAAAGAATACAAATATATGGAGTTTAAGTATAGTATAAAGCTACAAACATACAATATTAAAACATGGACACATTGCATATAAAGTGCAAATATGAAAAAAGTCTTCAGTAATTTTTAATAAATGTACTGTAGCTATCTGAATTAATATGTTGTGGTAATTTTATAGTTGCTAACAACTAATATTCACAAATCCATATGGTTAGGGTATAATATATACTACTTTACACCATATTTTACAGTAGTAAACTAAAAATAAATAAATAAAATTAGTACAGTAGTAGTAGGCTTGCACAGTATTTATTACAGTTTATCAGCAGACATGTATAATTCATTAACAGAGCTGTGAATTCTTCCGCACAATACTATAGCATTGATCCTAAAAACAATGTTAGCTATATATTACTAGTATTTTTCATGTGAGAAAGAAAAAACCTAGTAAGTTCTGGCTTTTGTCCTTTTCATTCTGTTTGTTCTTTAGTATCAGCCAATGGTGTGGATTTGTGGGCTGGACCTGCGGCTGCTGAAGGAAAAGTGAGGCGTGTTCCAGGAAAGGTTCAGCAGCAGCTCAGAGCAGAAACATTCCCAGCAGACGAACCCTCCCATCCACTCTGTTGACTCTAGTGCTGGAGAACGGTCATTTATCCTGTCTTGTCACACCGAGGAGGCCACGTTTACCGTAAAACACGGCAAGAGAGAGAGGAGAGATGATTTTTTACAGATAAAGAGAGTGGGAATAAGCGGAATGAAAACAATTATAACACGCCCTGCACAGAATTAACACCCATACTGGTCATAAAATAAGACGCAGATCCTCCCTTAAAGTCTTTCTCTGTGTGTTTATAAACCAGTTCAGAAGTCGTTCTTGTAGTTAATGACAGACTGGTGTAAACAGTTACTGTTTAAAGTCATGGTTATAAATGTGTTTTCTG